AAAAAAAAAAAAAAAGAAGAATAGTTGCGGCCGTGAAAACTCACAAAACAAAAAAACGAAACAAAGCTCTGGGCGTGATTGCAGCTGTATACATTCTCGGAAGTGTTAGTGTGAGTGTGCCCTCAGTGAGGGCATCTCAGCCCCGTGGCCAGGTTGTCAGATTCCAGAAACTCAAAAAAAAAAGAAAAAGACAGGAACATGGATTCGGCAATGAAAATGGCAAGATACATTCCCGTAAGTGCCAGTGTGATCAGGGTTACAATCCTCTGAGGGAACACAGCTCGAGGAGATCACGGATTCAGATGCAAGGAAGATGAGCATTAGCGAACTCCAGCAATCAAACAGCATCATACATATGTGTCCAGATAGTCTTGACCTCGAACCAACAGCAGTCATGCATCACGAGATTCACCAAATCAGAACACACCAATAGTTTGTAATTGGCAATGCTGAAATAGTCTCTCATCATCATCAACGAAGAACAAGAGTTGATATCCTATTGGCGCTCGGCGCCCAGACTACCTGTGGCAGATCCTATCTAGCCTAATACTACAATGCCGATGTTGACAACAACAGCGCCCTGAAGTACGAGCATACAGCGGACAATGCCGCACGCTTCTAGCACCAGGTATGTCTCTCGCAACACTCACAACCCCGATCCACACCACACAGATGCCACTTGCACCCAAGAACCACCCTGCGTCACACCCAGCTCACAGCGGAGCAGCTCGGCTATGGCTGCCCGCTACTTCTTGCTCGCCCGTGAGAGCGTGAGTGCCAGCCAGCCAGCAAATAGCGCAGCAGCGCTCGCGCAGCATGCAGCCAGCACCCGAATGCCGAATGAGGAGGCAGGCCCTTCCCTATATCGAAGTGGCCTGCCTGCGTCCAGTCTAGGAAGCTTCCAGTAGGCCCCGGTAGCCTGAGGCCCAGTCACGAAGAGAGCAGGCCTTGGGCCTGAAGTGGTTGCATGCGCCCAACTGCCCTCGGCTTGTGTTTGGCCCGGTATCCGTATCCATCCCAGGGCCTGCTTCACATACACTTACACAGGCGGCCCAGGGCCTGGGTTCATTCAACCAACTGGCGCAACGCAACCGTTTGAATTTCCCCGATGCGGGGTACCCTGAAAACGAGGCCCGAAGGGCTTGTCGTGCCTGCCTTCACTTAGGGCGGCCGACCTTGTTGCAGATAGGGCCCCGTAGGGGCTGAGCGGGCGTAGCCTCACATTCCCTCCTCCATATCTTCGTTAGTCCTCTGAGAAGATCAATCTGCAGCCATCTGGCGCTTTCCTTTCAATACATCCCTCTCATAGCGGGCAACGATTTGAGGAGTTGTCTGCATCAATTCCTCCCGAGTAAACCAGCGGTCCTCCTTCGGATCTGTATGATGTCTGAAGTGGACACGGAACTGCAGCTTTGGCATTGGAGGACGTCCCCTTCCCGGAGGCTTCTGAACAGGCATCTCCCTGTGGTCGATGATATCATCAATGTCAACTACTCCGTCCATGGTTGGGGGCAGCATTGACCGACGAGAGGGAAACTGATCAGTCTCCTTGGACGGAGCGAGCTTAGAGGCGTGAAAGACTGGGTAAGTTCTGAGATGACCAGGGATACGAATGGCATAGGATGGCCCATCTGGATCTGTCCCAACTATGTCTAAAACCTCACAAGGCCCAAAGTACTGGGGCATGAGTTTGCGGGATATCCCAAACTCTTGTCCTAGTTCCGAGGACTTGACATAGACTCTGTCCCCAACCTGAAATGTAGAAGGGCGGCGGTGTCTGTTCTCAGTTTCTATCATTGCTGCCTGCGCCTTCTGCATGTGCTCTACAGCCTCCTGCATCTTCTGTTCATATCGGTAGGCAAAATCTAGCGTGCCTGGTGCAGCACTTGGCTGATTGTTAGGAAGTAGGAAGTCTAAGGGCAGTCTAGGCTTAAACGTTAGTTGTAGACTGTTAGGACTTACCCCTGTAGCGCTGTGTACAACGTTATTGTACAGACTGGCGACAAGTGCGAGCTTTTCGTCCCAGTCCACCTGATTGGGCTTGATATAATGCCTCAACAGGTGTTGCACAGCGCGGTTCATCTGTTCAGCCTGGCCGTTGGCTTTGGGATGATTCCCAGAAGTCATCTGCAATTGAGTTCCTTGTTCAGCTGCAGCGGCCTTCCATAACTCGCTTGTAAACCGGACATCCCGGTCGCTTACAATAGACTTGGGTAATCCGAAATCTCTCACCCAGTTCTCTTTGAACAGCTTAATCACGTACTCAGTCTTTGCTGTCTCAGGCATTGCTACTAACCTAGCAAACTTACTAAACCTATCCACGATGACGAAGGTCTGTCTCATACCACTCTTGCTGGTGACTAGCGTATCCATGAAGTCCATGGACAAGCTCTCACCTGGCCTTTCCGGAATCGGAAGGGGCTTGAGCAGCCCAAGAGGAGCCTGAGTACGGGGCTTGTCTCGTTGGCAAACTTGACAAGTCTCCACATACAACTTGGCATCTTTCGTCATCGTGGGCCACCAAAACCTTTGCAGCAAATTGGCTGTGGTCTTTTTGAACCCAAAATGACCGGTGGCATCATGACATTCCTCTAAAAACAAACTACGCAAAGACTCGCTAGTAGGGACACACAATCGTTTGTTCCCCTCCTTTTCAAGAAACAGCAAGCCATTGACCATCTCAAACTCGGTTGAAGTCTGTTTGTCCTTCCTCTCGAGTCTGCGGATGATTTCTGACATAAACCGATCCTCTCTATAGGCCTCCACCAATGATCGAGTCACATCGTCACTTAACTCGAACTTAGTAATCAGCGCACCCGAGAAATCAGGTCTACGCGACAAGGCATCAGCCACCTTGTTGTACTCCCCTTTTAAATACTGGGGGTCGAAGTCAAATTGCTCAATGACCTCGATCCAACGCTTCAGGGCGTCGGAAAGTACTGGCTGCGTTCTCATCCATCTCAAGGTCTGATGATCAGTCCTGAGGATGAAGAACCTCCCAAGGAGGTAGTGCCTCCAATGGGTTAGAGCCTTGTACACGGCGTAGAGTTCCTTCTCATAGGTAGACTTTGCCAACTTCTGAGACGACATCTTCTTTGACATGTACTCGACTGGCCTCAACTTTGGCCCCTCCTGCTGCGCAAGCACGACGCCAATGCCATATTGGCTAGCATCCGTGGTTACTATAAATGGCTTATCAGGATCGGGTAGCTTCAAGACTTCATAGTGCGTCAGTGCATGCTTCAGATGTCTGAAAGCAGCCTCACACTCATCTGTCCACTCCCACGGGGTGTCAAAGGTGCTGTTCCTCCAAAGGGCTGCGTGTACCGAATGGGACCTGGCGAGTTGGAGGAACTCCGCAAATCGATAAAATGATCGACAAGGGTTGGATCAAACCTAGTGAATCTGAATTTGGTGCACCTGTTTTGTTTGTCCCGAAGAAAGGAGACAAGCTTCGTATGTGTATGGATTATCGCGGTCTAAACCGCATCACCAGAAAGAATGAATATCCATTGCCACACATAGATGACGTGCTTGATCCTGCCGGTGGGTGCAAGGTTTTCTCCCAGATCGATCTCAAGTCTGGATACCATCAGATTGAAGTCGATCCGATGGACCAGCACAAAACTGCGTTCAAGACACGCGATGGGCTTTACGAATTTACAGTAATGCCCTTCGGCCTGACAAACGCACCAGCCAACTTTCAAAGCCTCATGGACAAGGTCCTCCACGAACAGATTGGTTGGTTTGCGGTAGTGTATCTGGATGATATTATGATCTTCAGTAAATCTATCGAGGAACACATGAAGCACCTTGAGGAAGTGTTCACCATCCTCGAGAAAACGCAACTCCATCTCAACTTAGAGAAATCTGAGTTTGGGAGGGATAGCGTCATCTATCTGGGCATCGGTTGTCTGCTGCAGGCCTTGAGCATGAGGCAACCAAGGTTGAAGTCGTACGTGACTTGCCACAACCCGCGAACATTCGCGAACTGCGTTCTTTCCTTGGTCTCGCGTCATATTATCGAAAGTTTGTGCCCCGATTGTCTATTGTTGCTCGCCCGTTGTACCGAATGACTAGTAAGAATATACCTTACGCATGGGATGCAACATGTGAGATCGCATTTCAAGCCTTGAAAGAGGCCTTGGTAAGTTACCCTATACTCCTCATTGCAGATTCCAAGCTAACATTTGTAGTCACTACGGATGCTAGCCAATACGGGATTGGCGCAATGCTGCAACAAGATGACGACGATGGCTTGCGGCCCGCTCGAGTACTACGGCAAACGCATGCCCAACGAAAAGGTAGCTACATCCACCTACATGCGCGAGCTCTATGCTTTGCATATGACTTTGGACCACTGGAAGCACTAGCTTTTGGGACGCCACTTCAAAGTGTTGTCGGATCATGAGACCTTGAAGTTGATCAAACAGCTAACCACTTTGTCCCATACTCTACTGCGCTGGTTCCATGAGATTGACATTTTTGAATTTGAACTAAGACATAAAAAAGGTTGTTATAACTGAGTTGCTGATGCGTTGTCTCGCCACCCTGAGTACATGACTTGCCTTGTGGGTTCCTACGACCTCCGGAAGAAATTGAAGGAGGAGATCGTAGAACATACTACCAAGGACCCGAACCTTAGTCCTATCCTTGAGCAACTACAGGCTGACCCCAGTAACCAGCTTGATTTTCACGAATATGGAGGACTGGTTTTCCGACGCTATGGGAATCACGACTGTTTGTGTGTACCCAACCATGAACCTCTCTGCACACACTTCTTGGACTTGGCTCATGGCCGGAGCGGACACTTCGACATGGCAAAGACGTACGAAAACCTTTTAAGACAGTTTGATTGGCCCGATATGAAGGGATCGACTGAAAAGTTTGTGGCTGAATGCCAAGTCTGTCAACGAATCAAACCATGTAGACAAAAGCCCATGGGGCTACTCACGCCCTTTCCCATTCCCGATGGACCCAGGGAGTCCGTCTTCGTCGACTTCACTGACATGGGAAATGTAAGCAAGAACGACTATTCGCAAGTCATGGTGATTGTTGACCGCTTCTCTAAGTTTCTGAATCTTCCTTTGCCATCTCATGCCCCAACTGAATTGGTGATCCGTGAGTTCAAATAGAAGTACATTCTGCAGTTCGGAACCCCGAAAACTCTTGTGAGTGATTGGGACCCGCGTTTCATAAGTACCGAATGGAAGGACTTCACGTCCTAACTCCTTGGCCTCAAACTATGCATGACATCTGGGCGACATCCCGAAGCCAACGGTTTGGCTGAGGAAATCAACCAGACTGTGTTTCAACTTCTCCGCGCTTTGATCATTCCGGATCAGGAGACATGGGATGAAGAGCTGTATTCCGTCAAGGGGTTGTACAACAACTCCATCCATTCTGCCACCGGCATGACACCAAATAGGCTGCATTACGGTTGGCAGATTTGAAACCCGCTCTCCTACCTGTTCCCTGAACAGCCAACTGGTTTAACACCCGACAGGCCTGGCTTGAGGGCCAAGTACGATCGCTTGCTCAAAGTTGCCATCGCAACAATGACCAAGCGACAACACGCAATGATCCACCATGCAAACAAGAAGCGCCGACCTTTGGATATCGAAGTAGGAAGTTATGTCTGGGTCAAGATGTCTGAATTCTCAAAAGAAGAGGGAGTCTCACACAAACTTTTTCCACTTTACTACAGTCCGTGGCAAGTTGTGGATGTGATTGGCAATGATGAATTTGGCCCCTCATACACAGTTGCTGTGCCACCTCATGGATCAGGAGACATGGGATGAAGAGCTGTATTCCGTCAAGGGGTTGTACAACAACTCCATCCATTCTGCCACCAGCATGACACCAAACAGGCTGCATTAAGGTTGGCAGATTCGAAACCCGCTCTCCTACCTGTTCCCTGAACAGCCAGCTGGTTTAACCCCCGGCAGGCCTGGCTACAGGGCCAAGTACGATCGCTTGCTCAAAGTTGCCATCGCAGCAATGACCAAGCGGCAACACGCAATGATCCAGCTCGGATATCGAAGTAGGAAGTTATGTCTGGGAATTCTCAGAAGAAGAGAGAGTCTCACACAAACTTCTTCCACTCTACTACGGTCCGTGGGAAGTTCTGGATGTGATTTGGAATGATGAATTTGGCCCCTCATACACATTTGCTGTGCCACCTCATCTGCGCACATACCCTGTCTTTCATACATCAAAACTGTACATCCACCGTGATGCTAAGTCCTTTGATTACCGTGAAGACATGATTCCTCGTGCAATCGATGGCGGTCATGAGATCGACAAAATCAAACAACACGTAGGGAAGGGGCGTAACCGACAGTACCAGGGTCACTTATGTATCACCCATTGGACGATCTCTACTGGATCTCCAAGAAGGAACTGCTGCGCAGTGCTCCTCGCGTTGTCAAACGAACGACAAATCGCCTCTAATGCTGTTCCTAAAGTCTCTGCAAAGCTAACTGCAACAGAGTACTCTCGAAATCTGTTTGCCTTATTTGCTTACGATGCGTTTGTCGGGGACTCAGACTGAGTTACTCGCTGGAAGGGACCTCGCTCTTAAGGGGGGGTTAGTTCGATGGCCCGACCGAACACGGACTGAGACACACAACTGATTTCTGAGTTTTGCTCACGGACTGAATGCCTGGCTGAGTTTCCCGCTTGCCACTAAGTTCTGCATGTCTATATGTGTGTGCATGCTTGCTGGTCTGCATGTCTGTCTGAGTGCTGGTTGGCTTGAGTGTGTGTGTGACCTGCAAGGGTACTTGTCCGTTCGTTGGGCCCTCGGGGCCGGTACTTACCTGTGGCCATGACATTGAGGGATTGCAGCGGGGGAAAACACTCAAGTAGCTGGTAGGCCGGTGGCGCACCCTGAAGAGGTAGATGTGCGGGCACTGGAGGCCGAGCAGAAGAAGACAAAAGTGGCATTTTGAGAGGCCCAGTAGTTGTAGGCTAGGTCTAGGCGGGTACCAGTCCAACAAGTCTGAGTCTAGGGCCTGTACGGGCAATATCAGAGTCTCCAATGATGATTCCCTCCGAAACGGAGGAGGTACCGGTTGCTGGGAAGGCTGAGCGGCTTGGAAGTCACCGCCCAAGAGGCAAGCAGGGCGCTATATCTCCAGGCCGGGCAAAGGGCCCAGCGTCATTTTCGGTGTACAAGTTTGGCGACACACTGGTTGGAGCGCTGGCTGGAACAGCGCTAGCTTGGAGCAGCACTGATGGGGAAGGAGCAAGGACACGGAGGAGGAAGAAGGACAGGAGGAAGGGGGAGCGCCAGATGTACTTACCTGGCTATGGTGGCAGCCATCTTGATCACCTTGGTGGGCGCGCTGCAGCAGGAAGACCCCAGCGGGGGTAGAGCCACACCAAGAAGCTTCGAGGCAGAGTCAGGC